TCAAGTCTATTTTGGTTGGTGAACAGAAAGGATTCCTCTTCCTTTACCCGATTTAGCTACACTCGAATGTCCTATGTGGTGGTTGTCTAGGTTGCTATTGAGTTGTCCATATGTCAATGATCAAAAGCCAGTATGATTCACGTGTTCTGTGCCTATCTGATTTGTCCCCAAATTTCGTATGATTGAAATGTGTTGAGCTTACTTTGTATCTGGCTTGGTTTGCTTGGGGACAAGCAAACGGTTAAGTGTGGGGGAATTTGATGACTTGATATATACACATGTTTTTATCCACCATTCTTATGCCGTTTGAGCCTCATTTCTCTTATCTTAGGCCCATTTCACGCTAGGTTGTTCTCGTTTGTGTTATTTCATGCCCTAGTACGTGATTGGAGGTTTGGGAGCGAGTTTCGGGTCGATTGGACGAAAGTTGGACGTCTGGCGAGAAGCTGAGGAATCCACACGACCAGACCTAACAGCCACACGGCCGTGTGGTGTGGCCGTGTGGAATCCCATTACGCGGGCAAGCCACACTGGCCGTGTATTGGGTCCCTTGAGGCCATGTGGAAATTCCAGGGAGTTCACACGGTCAGACCGAGATTCCACACGGTCGTGCACTTCTGGCCGTGCAGCGTGCATGAAGCTCGTTTTGGCACTCACACGGGCAGACTGGGAAGACACACGGCCATGTGGCCTGGCCGTGTGGTTGGGAAATTCTCGGTTTTAACCCAATTTCGAGCCTAAGGAGAGAGAATCGATTTTCCAGAGCAAAAACAGAGCCCTAGCGAGAGAAAATGCGAAGAACACCACCTAAGAGTGATTTTGGAGCTGGGTTTCATCAATCAAGCTTGGAAATCATCCTTGGAGTGAAGATCATCATCCCAGAGCAGATTCTTCCCATCTTGTTTATTATGACTGCTTTGTTTGCTGTTTCCCTCTCTCTCTCTATGGAGTAGAACCCTCTCTCACTTGGGTATGAAGAACCCTAGTTCTATGTGTTAGGGATCGTTGTTGTAACGACGTTTGTATTGTGATATTGTTTGATTATAATCGATTGAAGTGTTTTGATTGAGTCAATTGAAGCTTGATCGTCTTTTATTGATTTCTGCTGCAACCTGAGATAGATAGAATCTGATTAGGTTGTTAGAGCTTCTTCAATCGGTAGTAGTGAATCGATTATACGAGAGTTAGTCGATTTACTGCTTTGTACTGGAATTCAGTTCCAGTAGTGGAGTTCTGTGTTCATAGCCTCATCTTTCTATCCCGGTGAAGACTAGTCGTATGTCGGGTAGTTTGACTGAGAGGGCTTGGTCAGCTTAAGAGATTCCAAGCTACTGTCGGATCTTCCGCAGTATAATCAACAGTAAAGCAACTAAAAGTAATTACAACTGTGACATAACTAAGGAGCTAGGGGGACTCATTCCCGAGTGACTCTTCCCTTGCTTTAGAAAACCGAACAATTTCCTGCTTTCTTACTGCTTTTAGTTAAAATCACAATCACTCGACTTAGTTTGTTAGATAATAAATAATCACGGAGTAGGCAGTAGATCTAGAGCTCGGGTTGACAAATAGAGCTTGCCACTTACTGCATTTTCGGACTGCGATTATACTTGGTCACTGTTTGGTGTTGTGTTTTAGCGTTTCAATAGCCAACCGATCTGGGCAATTTCTAAACTTCAAATTAGTATAACTAGGGATTTTTTTACTCGAAAAAAGGATTGTGCATATTTGAACTTTCGAAAAGCGGCTGTTTATGCATGTTTTCTGCTCTTAGTACGCGGATTTATCACTTAAGAAACTGAGTAGTTAAAAAAACTTGACTCCTTAATAATGATTGATCACCGCCACTGCTTGCGTTTGACTGAAACTAGGAAAGTAAAACTTTCATTATGGTGGTTTAAATTCGATTTTTATTATGCGATTAAAAAAAAAGTAATTTGAAGGCTAGTTCTTTAATCAACACCCCCACTATTGGTGATTTGTGAGACTATGGACTGTATTATTTTTTATATGAATTTAGATTGTGTTTGGGCGATTGAATCTGGATTCATATTGATCTATGGACTTCTAAAAGTCTGTTTTTGCTTGTTTCAAAAAATATGTTGAGTTGTAATTTAACTAGCTTACATATATATGTGTGACCATGACTGCTTGCTCAAGAAATCCCTGACCGTGGGGAATTCTAAACATAATAGAAAATTAAAACAAAACATCCGAATTTGATCATAGTTATTTTAATCGGCATAATGGTGATGGAATATACAAAGCTGATAATACGAGAGGGGAAAAAGCTTCGATGAAAGAACTTAATGAAACTAATATGATTAGATCTTGGCAAATAGAGCGCTTGAATGTAAAGGAGCTTGTAAAGTAAAACGCAATTAGATAGAAAATTATCACATATGGTGATTGATTATAAACTTAACAAAATAAAATAAGATCTTATTAAGAAGATGTAAGCCGAGCATAACCACTGACCTGGTTGAATCTTCCGGCCTAAGAATGCCCACTTTCTGCTTCTAATTTCAAACCTCTGGATCAGCTTAGTGTAGAAGAGGAGTGCATAGAACAAGATAAAAAATGTTCATGTTTTTGCTTGGTTTCTGTTTTTGTAATGTATTGTAGTTTTTTTTTTTTTTGGAATCCCCCCTCAAACAAAGAGCCAAAAGAGCTGATTTATAGCAAAAGGACATGCCACGTGTCAATTGGTCATTTTTCGGATTTTAGGCCAATTGTGAGACCTCCACCACATTTGGTCGGTCCTGACTGGTCATTGGTTCATATTGACTTGCTAGTGCTAGTCTCAACCAATTCACTTTAAGCTACCTTTCCAAATATAATTGTAAAGCAATGTTATATTGAGTTTTTTTTAGTAGAACGATTATCTCGGACAAAATGTAGTGTCTACAGTTTCCCCCTATGTATACCTCTTTGTATAAAGAGTTATACAAAGTTTCTATAAAGACACCACATTTTTTTGGTGAAAATCTTAGAAGTATCCATTTAAATCACATTTAGTAGCGACGAGGTATCCAGATTGTTAAGATGATGATAACCAAGTTGTACATGAAAATGGCAGTGATAAAATCAAACTGACCATTTGGTAACAACTAACAGCGATATACTCAAGTTATTCGTGATAGAATCAAATCGATCGATTTTGAAACATGTTAGCGATGAAATCAAGCTAACCATTTTGTAACAATGATATAATCAGGTCGTCTGTGATACAAATTGAAATGAACATTGGAAAAAGTGCTAACGATAAAATCAAGCTAACCATGTTGCAACAACAATGTATTCAAGTTGTCCGTGGTAGAAATCAAACTGATAAATGAGTAGAATGACAGCGATAGCTTCAAGCTAATCATTTGGTAATCACAATGTACTCAAGTTGTCCGTGGAAAAAGTGCTAACGATAAAATCAAGCTAACCATGTTGCAACAACAATGTATTCAAGTTGTCCGTGGTAGAAATCAAACTGATAAATGAGTAGAATGACAGCGATAGCTTCAAGCTAATCATTTGGTAACCATGTTTCAATTCAGCTTCTATTCCATCTTTACAAAGCAGTCAATCTGAGGTGGTAATTGGGACAGAATACAAGCTGTCAAGTTTTAGTTCATGTTCTACTTTGAAGTTACTTACTGTATTTCGTATGTTTAGATGTACGAAGGACAACGAGCTCGCTTTGCACAAGGAGATGGGAGGCCAAGCAAAATCCCTGTCGTGTCGAGACCACGTCTTCAAGATCCAAATGGAGGAAAGGAGTCAAAGGGGAAGGAAAATATGTGATATTCGTAGTTAAATGGGGGAGGCTTAGGGTAGTAGGAATCGAATATGAGCTGGTTTTCTTAAATGGAGCTGGATTTTTTTGTGGTTTGATTTCCAATAGTCATTGAAATGGAGCTGGTTTGCTGGGTTATTTTTGTGCGTAGATTTCCAGCACCTCACTATCATTGAAATGGAGTTGATTTGCTGGTTTTTTTGGTGTATTCATTTCTAGCAGCACCTTATAGTCAATGAAATTGAGTTGGTTAGTTGTTTTGTTTAGCTGTATTGATTTCCAGCACCAAACAATCATTGAAATGGAGCTGGTTTGCTGGTTTTTTTTGTGTGTATTGATTTCCAGCAGCACCTTACTGTCAATGAAATTGAGCTTGTTTGCTGGGTTTTTTAGCTATATTGATTTCCCGTACCATACAGTCATTGAAATTAAGATTCATCATTGGTGGTTGTGAGCATAATTTCTACAGTTTGTTTCATGAACATAAACTCTTTCCAAATCCATTACATCATCCAAAACAGGTTCCCAATCCATTACATCATCCAATAGAAATGGAGAAAAGCTCCAGCCGGGGCAGACAAACAACAGATAGAGAGAGACGAAAAGAAATCCTTGAAGCCAAAGATTATTTTCCCAAAAATTGACAAAAGAGGAAGGTTTTGACAACTAGAATGAAACAGAGGAAGTAAGTTGAGAGAGACTGGCATTATACAAAAATTGGGTCAACCATACATAGTGTATATACTCCATTACAAAGGAGAAAACTAGGGGTTTGTAGGTTTGGGGAAGGACTGTGTAGGGGAAGAACAGAGATTGATGTTTCGGGGAAGAAGAGAGAATGAGTAGGAAAAAGTTCTAGGTTTTTGGGGGAGAAGTGAGAATCTGTTTTTTGGGTTAGTTTTGAAGAAGATAAAGCAGGAGGAACGTCCAAAAAAGGTGGGCCCAGGGTTTTGGTAAGGCCCGAAAATGAGTCAGCAAATATACTGACATGTACGCTTGCGTGGCATGGCAAATTACAGTATCGGTACCTGCCGTTATGTCTAATGACGGAAGTGGTGACGGTGCACCCATAATACGACTTACATGGTTTAGTTGCAACGAAATTACGTCAAGTGGTTAACGTGCAACAATTATAAGAGTTAAGTGACATCTGAACAAAGTAGTTTCAACTTGACTTAAAGGATTCATTGGACGAGTCCGAGTACTTCCCTGTTTAGAATGTATTAGTAAGAGTTCCCACAATAGAAAAATAATGGAATTTCAATATTAAGCACCATACATCAGGCATCCACTGTAATACAACTCCAGTTGATCCCATAGGTGGTGTGGTTCCCTACAAATCAAATACAGAAACATGAGAACTTAAACATTTCCAGGTAACCAACTATAAAACTAGTTTTGCACTTACAGTAGTCACCTCGGTTGATGATCTTTGAGTCGATGCAGCACCTGTTTCTGAGTTTCCCCCCTTATTCCCCTTTGTATGGAACAACTTATTGTGCCCTGGTTGCTTACACTCACTACACGTAATAGTTCCCCCCTTACCTTTCCTACACATTCTCTCATTCTCAACTCTAAACTTGCGTTTCTGTTTATCAAGACCTGCTGTCTCCTCAATGCCCTTTCTCCTTTGGTTTGACGCCTTCCTCTCTTTGTTTCAGCTATAACCAGTTGTGGTGGAAAAACAGATTCCCTTCCACTTGGCAACCACGATTCTTTCCCAACCATAGGCTCCACTTGACCACTATAAGTTGCAATGTAGGCTCCAACTTCATAACACTTATCCACATAGTTCTCAACCCTTTTCGAGATTAGCCATATGCAGCGTATAGCATGAGGACAAGGTAAACCTGTTAATTCCCACCTTCTACAGGTGCATTTGAACTTGCTCAAGTCAACAGCAACCTGGCCCTCTGGACATGAGACTTGAAATTTCTGTGGACCACTCTGGATGGCAGTACAGAGAAAACTAGCTTGTTGAACCACGTCTAGCTTTTGCTGGATTGTAGGACAGAAACGACCATTAAATTTAAAGTCTCAATTTTCTTCCTGTTACAGAACATGCTAATGATTGGTTTGGTCCTAGCTCCTAATAAGGACTTATTCCAACTTTCACAGATATTATTCGTCAATATATCTGACTTGCAGTATGGCTGGAAATGACCTAGTCCACTGTGACAATGGCTTCTCAAGCAACCATCTATGAGCCTTTTCATCATAATCTTTTAATTCATTCATGCTCTTACGGAAAGTTGCATCATAACTTGCTCTAGCAGCAGTCCATAGTAAGTCTCTGGTTTTTTTGTTACTACCTTGTGCCCGGAATAGATTTGAAACGAGGTGTCTGACACAACATCGATGCTCAACATATGGAACTAAACTCTCCAAAGCATTCAACAGGCCCTGCATTACAAAAACAAAACTGATAAGTAAGTTGCAGCTTCAAGAAGTTGAAACAATTTTGATGCAACAGCTAAAATGTATTGAAACAATGAAAGAACATTTACTTTCTGCTTATCTGACATAAATGTCCAGCTTCCTGGATCTTCAAATATGTTTAGATCGTGGCATAATTGGTTTAAGAACCAAGTCCAATTGTCTTCATTCTCCACTCTCAATGCAGCATATGATATAGGAAAACTTCCACCATTTCCATCTATACTAACTGCAGACAGTAACTGTCCCCCATATTCCTTCTTTAAAAAACAGCCATCGAGCATAATAAATTTCCTACAATATGCAGCCCCCTTCTTACAAGGTTCTAAACAACAGTACATCCTCTTGAACACATTAGAGTTTTCACAAGTCTCCACATAGCAGGTAGAACCAGGACTTGTCCTACGCACTTGAGCACAATAGTCTTGCAACTTGAGATACTGAGCTCTCGCATTGCCTCTTAGAAGATCCTTTGCTAGGCGCCTTATTCTCCATGCAGTCCATCTTGAAATAGTCCAACTATAGTCTTCTGCAACAGTTTGAATGATTGATTCAGTCCCCCATTCCGGATCAGCCTGAAACCTTTGCAGGTACCTCTTAGCAATGAAAGCAGCATTCCCAAACTTGTTATTGAACACCATAATACAACCCTCGTGTTGCAAAAAACATGATCTTATTTGAACAGCCTTTCCGTCGTTTTTTGGTCCTACCCATATTTTCCACTAACAACCTTGTTGGCATACAACTTGAACTCTAAAACTGTCACTATGTTTAAACTTGAGAGGCTGCTTGCTTTTGATAGAGTACATCTTGATTGCTTCCTTGAATGTGTCAAAATCCCTGAATATCTGGTGTAGACAGAATTGGGGATCACTCATATCTTTTGTTGGATTGAACTCGGGATATCTTGGAAGGTTTGGAACTCTCTGCTCCTTTTCTTCATCATCTGAATGGACATCTCCCAAGTAATCTGAATCATACAGATCATCCTCATAATCTCCCTCAATAGCATCATCAATATAAATATCATGGCTGCCACCCTCCCCGTCATTGTTTTGCCCCTCCAAATCTTCATCATTGACTTCATAACTATCATCTACAGCTGGTTCAAGATCACTCTCTGCTCTATCATAAATATGAATCTCATTCAGCCCCCTGTTGTCCCTAATATGCTCACTTGATTCCACATTCTCATGTAGAGCTGGACTTAGTAAAATGCCTCTGTAACTTTCTGTTTTGTTTTCTCCTTGATCAGCTTCTAGTCTCGCTTTGCTTAAATCTTCTTTACTGATTAGATAAAACTCCACAAACTTGGTATATTGAAGAACCTTGGAAGCCATGTCCATAATGTCTTTATCACTAGTCAATTCCTGTAGCCCTTCCATCATTTGCTCGTCTGGTAGTCTCTAATAATATGCCCAACCATTATTGTTCCTATACTCCTCCAACGCTCTAACACTCTCCATATGGCTGAACTCGACAAGATATCCATCAAGCTCCAACAAAGATAAGCAATCTGGATCGATCCAATCCAGATATTTAACTTCACCGCCAAAGTAACATATGTCTTCGTGGAGTATATACACTATTTCTCCTTTGTAATGGAGCTCGATTTTGAACTTTTCATCATTGAGTCCTAAGATAACAATCAACATTATAAATGGAATTCCATCAGGTGTTTAACTACCAATATGTTGAAAATTGCAGCAGGTATTGAACTACTAATATGCTGAAACTTGCAGCAAATTGCAGGAGATGATGGAAATTGCAACAGTTTGGTGGAAGGTAACTCACCATATGTCGGAATCCGATCATTGTCTCCTACTTCCCTGATGGTTGGGCTCATGTTTGTAATTAGAACAATAGTGATATAACCAACCTGGTAAAACAATTATTTGGATTTTAAAACCTTGGACAAGCTGGCTATAGAACCCAACAATAATAAACACAGAGTTCTTATGATAAACAGAGCATCACTTCATCTTCTAAAGAATCCATAACCGACTCACCTACTTCGATACACGAACAACCTATCTTCGTCAGCTGCTTGTTTCAAATCCCTAGCAACATCACGAAAAGTAAACAGAATATAGAATCTCAGAGGACGAATGACAAAATCGAAGTTGCAGGGGCCGGATTCAACACTGAATCGGAAACAAAAGCCAAATACCAAGAGGCGAGGTCCACTGAATACGGCTCTCTGGAAGAGTTGAAGGTTACTTAGCCCGCCGGAATTTTGAGCATCCGGATTTCATTCACCGTCGCCGGAATCAATGATGCGGTTATTCTGTTGCGTCTCTTTTCTCTTGTCATTCCTATTTTCCGTCTGTCAATGGTGCGATTATTCTCCTTTGTTCTCACAATCTCCTTGCTGAACCGGTTCGCTTTTTGCCTCATGATCGCCTTTGCTAATTCGGGTTCTCTGAAGAGGAATGGTTTTCCTCTTCAATGCCGAAAATTTTGCAAAGCAGAGAAGAAGGTGCAGGAATACGAGAAGTCGCGGGTTAAACTTGCTCAAATATTTCATTCAAAATAGGTGGGCCCAGGGTTTTGGTGAGGCCCGAAAATGAGTCAGCAAATATGCTGACATGTACGCTGGCATGGCATGGCAAATTACAGTATCGGTACCTGCCGTTATGTCTAATGACGGAAGTAGTGACGGTGCACCCATAATACGACTTACATAGTTTAGTTGCAACGAAATTACGTTTAGTGGTTAACGTGCAACAATTATAAGAGTTAAGTGATACCCGGTGCAATTAACCCGCTGAAGGTGGTATCTAAGTCGATTATATGCTGGGTAGGAAATCCTAGGAATTGGCTCCCAAGTTGTACCCCGCTATAGCCCTTTCGAGCTTGCTTGGACCCTCAAGATCAACCTCGGATCTGAGTTCAACTTGGTTGGAAAGTTTTGCGTGATTTCCACTACTGTGAAAGTCACGGTACTCCTTTTCCGTTTCTAATAGGATAGCTCGGGTATAGAGCTTTTATGCATGAATGCAGAATTAAATTGAGAAAATATAATTGCGAAATAAGAAAGTAAACACCCAACACGTAATAGGAAAATAGAAAACTTATCGAACTTAATTATGTAGCTCGACTCTCGAGGTCCCCAGCGGAGTCGCCAACTGTCGCAACCGTCCCTCCGGGGTCCGTCGGGGCGTCGCGTCGGCATTTTTGGGAGTCGCCATCGATCTTACTTGGAGTTGATCGAACACTCTTCGAATCGGCTCTAACCTTGGGTTCGGGAGTACGGTTACGTGTGGGGAAGTGAAATCACACCCCACAACGCCCTAAATCGGTACTACTTAAGTTTGATAAGATTTTATAAGAGTTGGGTGTATTTTTGTAATATTTTTGTAATTTTAGGGTCCCACTAGACCATTAACGAAATTAAATCGTATTAATTGTAATTTAATTATACGCCCACTAACGTAAAATTAAAAAGATAAAGTTAGTTGATTAGTGGGACTCGAACCTTTCGGCTGCCTACGTACCCGTAACACGGGATCAAAGTCTATGTAGTTCGTTCTAACTTTGATAATTTTTAAAAGTAACTCTTACCACGATCCATTGACCATGTAATCACATACGTGATTTTATTAGGGAAATATGTAAAGCGAAGAATATGTTTAATTTTCAAACATAAATAAATATTTTACGTATTTGAAAATATGAAATTGACCTAACTTAGAGATTATTGGCACTCAAAATTTCATATTAAGAATGCTTTGAGAAACAGATCAAAAAGAGTAGAACATATCAACATATCACACAATTTCGTTGTAGACCAACTAGTCAACTTTATTAGCTAAATTGACTTGCAATGCTGTGGTAATGGGTTCGAGACCCAACTCAAGGCATTTTTTTTTTCTTTCATGGACAGAGGGGCACGGCGGTAATTCCCAAAAAATGTCGGTAATTCCCAAAAAAACGTGGGGGCAAACCTTGTTAATTTCCAGAAATCATCTAGTAGTTTCAACGTGTTAGGTATAAAATCCTCTCTATAAATCCTAAGGGCGTGTTTACTTTCATTTCTGTTTCCTAGTTTTTAGAAAACATATGAAAACAACATTTTGTCATTTTCGAAAACAGCAGGAAGTTGCCACTTTCTGTTTTCATAGTTGAAAACGAATAGAAAACGGAATGAAAAATAAACAAGTTTTCTCATTTCGGTTGTCAAATTTATGACACGAAAACAGAAAACAGAAAACGATAATAGAAGTGAACAGGGCCTAAATGACCCACACAGCCGCCTCTAACTCTCTCACTCTCTCGGCTCTCTCTCCCTCTCCGTCTCTCTTCTTCTCTTCCAGAGAAAAGGAGACGAAACCCTAGTCGCCTCTTCTACACCACCTCGTCTCTCTCTCGATCTTCTCTCTTCTTCTCTGTGATGTTCGCTCTTCACAAACAAAAACGATGACCGCAATGAAGGCCCGCCGCCCCTCTCTTCTCCCTCTTGTTCTTCTCTGCCGAAACCCTCTGGGTTTTCTCTAAATCGAAACCCTGACTCTTAATCCTACCTCAATCCTCTTCTCTCGTTACTGGTCTCGAGAAAACAGCTCAGTCCACAACCAATCTCCTAATGGAAGCCCGAATTAGGTAAGGTTTTAACCATTGTTCAAGAACACTCGCCTAGGCGCGTTTAGTAGCTAGGCGAGGAGGAAAAGTGGAGAGGTAGCCTGGGCGAAGTGGCTGGGGGCAATAAACGCGGAATCGCGTTGAAGAACGCCTAGGCGGCGAGTACTAGCGTGGATCGGCGATTCCAAGCTGTGGGCGACGCCCAGAAAAAAAAATTACCATGTTGTGCGTTTTGGATGGGCCGAATAGGGGAAAACCCTAATGGGTTCTTCGAGCACCCACAGTCGACCGCCTCTCTCCTTCGTCACCTCTCGGCTCTCTCCCTTCTCTCCAACAGTCGACCGCTCCAGCCGTCTCCAACAGTCGACCGCCTCCAGCAGGGGGCTTCGTCACCGGCTGCAGCATCCTCTCCGCCAGTCTCCAGAATCGCGCGCCGTCGGTCTCCACCATAGCCAATCGCGCCTCGTCCTCACCGTCGGTCTCCAGCATCGCCAGTGCCCAGTGGTGACTCGTCCCGCCGTCGGTCTCCAGCATCGCCAGTGCCCAGCCGTGACTCGTCCTCGCCGTCGGTCTGTAGCATTGAAGGTACTAAC